TACAGATAGCGATTCCATAACTCATCCCACGCGAGCCTATAAGGTTGATAAGTTGATTGACTTGCAGAGTTACTCTACTGCTCTAACTCTACTACTACTAGCGCTAACTCGAGGATTCGAAGCGATGTTCGAACGACCCCTGGGCACGTGATGAGGGTGACGGACCAAGGGGTAGAAATTAACTTTTGAACATGGGAGTCCAACGGACTCCCTACCCTCAAAAAGAGGGAGTCCGCAGTCTGAGGTTCAAAATTAAAGATATTAACAATAACGCATGTGCTCATTTTTAAGATTCATGCAGTTGCACGTCTGCCAAATTTTCTTTGGACATTAGCTGAAAAAATATGGTAATTCTGCGAGGCTATGTTCTGGAACGAACCAGTTAGTATGGCAGAATTTTCAGGAAGTGACACGGACTCCTGCATATGTCAAATCAGGGAGTCCGGCAGTAAATCAGGAAGTATTTGATTCCCTGACTCCCGTTAATTTCGCACCCTGTGGACCAGTTAAAACTACCCAGGCGCTGGCCGGTCTCACTAAAGATACACACAGCCGATAAACCACCCCACCCGCTCACAATCTCACCCCTCGGCTGCAATTTGAAATCGCGCTGCGCATAAATAAAACCCGCCAGCTCCTGTGTGTTGTTCGACGCACTTCCCCACTCACATCCCGCCCTCGCCCCATTACCGTCGCTTTTCAACGCGTAAAAACCAAAGCGTCGGACTCGAAACTCGTCGAACTGTTTTGCTGCCCGAAGCGATCTAACCGCTTAGCATAATAATGCGATTCGGGCTCGAAAACTTCCATCACCAACAGTGGCGTGTGACGTAGCTCCGGGCTCAGCTGCGTGAGTCTCGGCCGAATAAATTATCGCAAAATATAACTGTTGGCCGCTGGCAGCAATAACAGACGACTTTCACTGTCGAGACGCGACGGGGTGACCGTTGCGAACGATTACGATCTGTAATACACTATACACGGCACACACCCATCGAATCCATGCCTAAACTATCAAATTAATAATTATAAACTAACTAATCTAAACTCAATTATCAGTGCTCCAAGCGGCGACGGAAAACGATAGCCAGACCCGCAAACGGCGCGAAGGACGGTGAATGTTGTGGATGCGAGGCGGCGCGAGGCCTGTGGGAGGCATGATTACGCTCCAGTGTCTCGGCCTAGGAGTGTCGTAGAGACAAGTGGTTGGTCTTGTTTTAGAGAGCGGGGAATGCTGCTTGGCGCAATTCCAGAACTTGGTCTGGAACCGCATGCAAGGTGGAGTAGTATTGCCGTGAAGTGGCACTATTCTCCCGTTTTCCCGTTGTACACTCTAGGTATTTATTAGCTCTTGATAACTTCATGTCTGCTGCTTGTTCTATTTCCAATTATGTTCAATTTTGTTTTTGTTTTATTGTTATCATACAAACATTTTGTTCAAATATTTCTCATCATACATCTTATTCTTATGACAGAATGCCTTTATACTTCATTAATTCCCTAAGGGTTGGCTGACTAGATGACCATATGGTCTTTTCGTCATCCCTTCACTGCACGTTATTTATATTTTGTTAAAAAATCCTTGTATCTGTTGATATTGAAACTTGAAAGTGATAAAGTAAACTCTCTTATCTTATCTTAAACACCTTCACAGAGTTCCAAGGTGAACCCCTGACACCAGCCAACGATGACGCCATACAGAAACGAATGTGGCGGTTAGGAAACGTAGGATTCGTGCATACAGACCGCGAGTGCATGCAAACATAAATTAAATAAAAAACTTCGAGCGTGTACTGTGTCAATTAGGAACGGTCACACAACATTGGATCAATGTAATCGTATATACTGCATGTAAATAACGTGATGTGGTAGACCAAGTAAAGAAATGACCGTCATGCGCTAACTAAAGCATGCGAAACTGATGTACACTCTCCTTCTTGTTCATGTCTTTACCCAAGCAGACATGGAATAACGGTAACCCAATTCTATGTGGTGTTATAATCAAAATGTCATTCAGAACTAAAATGGGGTGAATGAGTGATCCTACAGGTCATGATTACCACTTGCAATCTGAATATGTCCACACGGCATGCTACTACCACGTTCAAACATAAATAACAAGATAAACACTTAGCACCAGCAATAATACATCTAACAAAATAAGTATAGTATCTTACATATATGATCATTTCACTCATGGTCTTGGTCGAGCTGTGTACTACGTTGTCATGCGCTGTTTGTACGTTTTTTTACACGTACACATGCATGCATGCACGCAGACACACGCACGCACGCACGCACGCACGCAGACACACGCGCGCACGCAGACACATGCGCACATGCAGAAAAAACAACATGTATTTACGTACGCCTGCACGAATGCAGTTTGACACAATGCAGAAAGAACCAACACTTGTAGATTGATGACAGTACTTCCTTGTTGAATGTATTGCTGCTACTAGCGATATGCAAGCGAATTTGAAATGCTCTCTTTTTCTAGCCGGTCATTTGCCATAGACCTTCCATAGAGCCACAGGAACAGTGGCCAGCTACTCCACAGCATTTTTGACACGCAACATGTCACTTTGATGACTTGAGTGCCATGTACACATGCCCAAAAGTAGCAATTGGGAGTCAGGGCGTACTGGCATTCTTGGCGTAACATTCGCAAATCGCAGATTTACTCCTGCCTCCTTATGCGGTCATGACCTTAAGTTATGGTACCTTTTCCGTACGTCCCCCAATGATATAAATCGATGACACGGCAGACATGAAATTACAACAACCTGACAACCTGTGATGAATTGCGGGTCATTACTACGAGGCCATCTTCCCCCCTCCTTAGCGATCGTTTAATTGATCGTAATCACTCATTAAGCGCATTTACTAACTTAGTAGTAGTACTGAGTAGTAGGCCTACTACTCTAATGATTGATTGTATGGTTCACGCATAACGACTCATCAATTGCTCTTATCGCATATACATGTTGGGCACAGGCCCAGCGGGTTTCTCCAAGGGCATTTATAGCCTGGCGGCCCACCGTCAGGCTATCGTCGAGGCCCCGCGATCTCTAAAATGCACTCCCACGCTAACAATAGTCATAGCCCGCCATGCTGTTTAGGTACACAAGAGAGTTCAAACAATAATGACACGTTGTTCCGTGCTACGGGTACCTGCAGTCGCACATCACAAGTACAAACAGCTACTATCGACTAACCTCCTAAGTCACTTAAGCTCTGAAAACCTGACTCGCTATCTCTATTATCTTGGCTTATTCCCCAACCAAACTGGTGGTAGGCTAGCTGCATCAATAATGTTTCATTCTTTCATACGTTCAAATTCCGAGTGTGTTTCTAAGCTGCATCAGAAATAAATATATTTTGAATTTTCTCGATGGCCTTTTGCCCATCGCAAAACAAATCTTTTCACCTCCACTATGCAGTGCTTTGCAACCTGTACTACAAGCGAGTGTCGCCAGGATTGCATCTCAGAGCTTCTACAATTCAATACCATTGGACCCGGACCCCCTACGCCTAGCAGTAGCAGTGTGCGTAGCACCCCCCAGGCCGTATCCAGAGGTTGGGCTGCAGGGGTTTACACAAAGGCGATGCGAGCTTCCGCCTGAGCCCTGCGAAGCGGTGACGTGGGTGGGGAGCAGTTCCGGCCCAATTTTTGTGGTGTTTTTTAACGTCACTTGGTTATCTGCTTTAGATGACTGGAGTTCCCTTGGATATAGGTCACTTGTCTTGTTGGGGTTCAATTGTTGTTGAATTCACTAGCAAAAGCAGTGTATTATCACCATAACAATATTAACACATCAAAAAAATGAGATTTGTAACTAAACTCGTCTCTGGTGTTGGGTGAATTATGATCTATTATCTCCCTGGGGTTGTGATCCATCCATATCTAGATATCTAGGATGGATGATCGCTGTGGTATCTTCTTTGAAATTGATAGTGTAACTAAAACTTGTTACGAGTAGCTAAAGTGTCAGTAGATTTACTAAACCAATCAATGAGGTCTTTTATCTTGAAAAAAGGTTATAATTAGAGTTTTAATGGTTACTTACAAAAAAATTATAACGTTACCCATTAAATTTGACTAGTTGACACCTGTTTATACCACTTAGTATCACAATAACTTTACCTTGGGTATAAGATCCCAATGGAACCGAGTAAGACCGCGCAGAAACAACTTGTAGGCCAAACTATGTTACTCAGGTTAAACTAGTACTATTTTTTTATCACCAAGGGGGTTATCAGAAACGCAAATAACCCCCTCCTCCCTCTGGATACGGCCCTGCCCCCCATGCTATAATTTATAACTTAGCTTGGAGAACCCTGCACCCGAATGTAAAAGCCAAGGTACGACACGACAACATGCAAAACGTTTTAATAAACAGTAGATCAATTTATCATCACATTGTTCAAATTTGTCATTGCCACAATGTCAGGCGATAAGTGGACCGATAACACTTAACACTAACAACAGCCTCATCATATTCATGATATTGCAACAATACATTATTGAATCTTCGACGCATTCAATAATGACATCAACTCAACAACACTGAATCAAATGCATACCTGCTGAATGCCAGAAGTCCTTTTCGTATTCCTAGCACCAACAAGATGATTGTGTATCCTTTATAATGAGATCTGTGTATAAAGACCGAAAACCATCAATCGTTTACTTTCATATTCTTCGAACTCGGCTTGCGAACTGGATGTCCCTGCAACACCTGCGCAAAATAGTGTACATACGCTTCTAGTCATCGAATGATAAAAGTAGTCCAGAGTCCTAAGGTGAAATTGTAGCAAGCCAATTAATGAATACGACTCAATACAAAATAAAATAAACAACACTAAAATTTAAGTACTACTATTGTCCTTCAACAGCTCTCATGAGTTTATTATTAGTAAATGAAAAGTTATAGATCACGTAGAGGAAGTAGCGGAACGATTTTATGTAAATTTTAGTGTCGTTTGCATCTGAAATATATACGATGATCATAAGCAGAGTTGTAATGGGTCTAACAGAAGTAGGTATATATAAGAAAATTGTAACACGCTGTAAAAAGATAAATATTTAATTATAATACGATTGTGGCCAGAGATACAACGTTAACTATCCCGCAGAAAATCTCTAGTAACGCACGCTTCCGGTTTTATATCGTGTAATGTGATGATGTGATCATGCAGTGATTCATTGTTTTGTACCGTCGTAAAGGTTATTCTTCAACGTTTAAGAGACTATAACGAAGATTTGAAGCTCTGCTTTGAAGTTAGTCGAAGATTTAGTTCTTAAAGTCATGCTTAAGATCAACAGGACAGTTGTTTATCTAGATTAAAAATTCAGGCATCCCTTTTTCAAACACAGTGGCTGGAGGTAGGTCTACGCCTACGCCAGCTGAGCCGTCGTTCGTTGAAGCCCCTTTTTTGGCGTTAGGGTTAGGGTTTCAAACGCTGTGGCTACGGGTACGGCAGCCGTATCTTAATGTCTCGAGGCTGGAGGTACGGCAGTCCATTCGCTTTCATACTTAAAGCGTGCGTTCACGACTTTTGGCGCGGATTTGCGGCTGCAAAACCGGTTTTTTTGTAGCTCGCTCGAAAACTGAGCTTTTTAAAGTGGTGAACGCAATTGTAGCTGCACTAATCGCACTCCAAATTAGCGCGGATCCTAAGACCACTTCCGACTGTGGCTATTTGGAATCAGCTCGATTATTTGCCACCGCGGCAGTGATATTTGCACCGCGGACGTGATATTTGACACCGCCGGAGCGATACTAGCGAGATATTTCGCTGTGTGCAACAACGACACTATTAGTCTCACTATATGCTCCGCTATTAAGCGCGGCTGAGCAGCGCGCGTTTTTTCTATGTGTGATGAACGCGCCTGAATGTCTCGCAGACTGGAGGATACGGCAGTCCTTCGGCTTTCATACACGCCTTGGGAAATAAATTCACGATTTGAGAGTTTAGATAAGCTAGAACCCTAACTCTAACCCTAACCCTAACCCTAACCCTAACCCTAACTAAACGCCAAAAAGGGGCTTAAACGAACGACGGCTGCCGTACCTCCAGCCACTGCGTTTTTCAAACTTCCAAGCTCCAGCGTATGGCTGGATCCTCACCTCAGTCTCAGACAGTGAGGCTGGGTTTTGTGGCGTTACACTAGTAACGCTCATAGGGTCTATGTTCCCCAGGGTACTGCCGGAACGTACCCTGGGTACGGTCCGGTATACCGGAACGTACCCTGGTAACTATCTAGCTGATATGGTTAGGGTTAGGGTTAGGGAGTAGGCGTAGGCGACTCCCTAGACTCGTTAGTGGATTAGGCGAGGTACGGTCTGGCATATTAGATTGTAGTATTTAGTACCAAGGTATACCGGACCGTACCCAGGGTACGTTCTGGCAGTACCATGTGGGACATAGACACTATCAGCACTAGTAACTGCCACTTAGCATGACTCTAACCAAAACGCTATCAAATCCAGAAAAGAGAAAAATAACTTTAAGTTCAAATAAATAAATGTACAATTTAATACGTTACGCATGCACTGATGCACTGCAGTGACCGTGTCACTGTCAGTGATGTAAAATGTCGCAAACTATTTCATTCAGAATCAGTTATAAAAACTTATTATTATGCAAAAAAAATCATCATAGATCACGACGACGACAAAGATGTCCTTACTGATGGTGCGCACCGATTTTTCATTTCCCGATCTCACTGTAGGTAAAACGAACGCAAAGAAAATGAGTGTGGCAGAGACTTCAACTGGCATGGACATGCCTGTCCTTCCCAGCCAGCCCGCGAGTGCCGGGCCGTCGAACGACAAGTCCCAGGAGTCGGACGCCGAGAAGAAGACGAGTCCTCCAAAATCAACGAGCCAGAGTCCGCGACGGATTTCCGCGAAGAAGAGATCGGCGAGCGAGACGGAGGCCGGGAGCAACGACGCAGATGCGGAGGCGTCCGATTCCTCAGAGCCGCCCGCGAAAGCGAAGAAAGAGGAAGAGGTGCGCAGGGAGGATGCACGGTGTAGTGTTTAGTTTTTGTGAGCTGTGAGAAGAGGCGGTTAGTGTTTCAGTGACAACGTGTGAATGAATTGCCCTCATCTTTTCCACCCTCCCCTATCGTGGTATTTGTTAGCATGCCAGAGTTGTGACGAGGTCTTCACAGCTATCTACAGCTATTGGCTGTGCCCATTTACTGATTGGCCCTAACCTAGCTATATTTCCAGTTAATCATGAAAATTATCATGGGAATTGGATCCAGACCTAAGAATAAACCCCATGCACATTTTAATCAACCTTGTCCTGGCCATCACAGTGGATGGTGGGTTCAAAATAGTAATAGCAGGTGAACTGGTCATCACTGTGTCATCGTTTAACATTTTCCACCTGACACCTTCCCATGTAGTACATGAAACCCTCAGAATTCATACACACACGGGATGGGGGAAAAGTTTGTGTCCCACCCCAACGAAGCAATAAAAACTGGGATCATATGGTTAAAAAGAGTGAGCGAATAGCCCGTAAACGAACTACCGTAGAATAAATTATCAACTGATGTAATTAAATCATCCTGATTCTGAGGTCGTACGAGGATAGATCTTAGCTCTACCGCCGTCGTCAGAGTGAAACGCAAGCACAGTGCGAAAATGCCGACGTTAGCTGTGGGGATATTGAGGGGACATATTTTTTTGTTGTTTATATATATATATATATATATATATTGTATTTTTTTCCCCTTATGTTGTATAGCATCACTCAGAAATTATTTTTTTTTAACTGCTCAACACTATTGCATCTATCAGATCTTTTCTCCATAAAAAGACTCTCTACAGTACATGTAATTGTATTTGAATTACAAGCAATAAAAATTTAATGATAATAATAATAATATATTGCATCCGTCTACAGCAGGGCAAGGACGAAGGTACGGAGCTTCTCATCAAGGAGCTTGACATGGAGGGGGACGACGAGGACAACCGCGCATCGGATCCCGAGGGGAAGGCCGAGGAGAAGCTGAGGGAGGAGAAGCGGACGAAGAAGAAGAAAGAGGAGGAGAAGGAGCGGCAAAAGCTACAGTAGGTTGGCGACGTTCGATCGTATCACCGCGCAAAACATTAAATCGATTTGATGTATTTAATCTCACGTTTACCGATAGATCCATCTTATGTTAATGACTGGTTCTATAATGATAGAAATGATGATCTCTCGTGTATCACTAATATGAATTCACATCTGTCACAATATAGGTGACACAGATGAATGGTCATCGATCGATCTACCTCGAGCGATAACCAAACAGAAAACATGCACAAATTCTTCAATATTATAATATATCTTCAATGTAATGTGCACAAATAAATATCAGCGAATGCAATGAAATAACTTCGGTGTGAAACGACTGTGGACGTTTTCGCGTCGGTCACCACGGTAACGCTCTTCTCTAATCGCCGTGTTGTGCACGCCCCCTGCAGGGTTCTTGTGTCATCCTTCACGGGGGAGCAGCTGAATCGTTATGAGATGTATCGGCGAGCGGCCTTCCCCCGAGCGGCCGTGAGACGGGTGAGTGTGCACTCATTCTTATGTCATCTACATATAGTACGGTCTTATATATACAGTACAGTCTTATATATACAGTACAGTCTTATATATATACAGTACAGTCTTATATATACAGTACAGACATCATCTACATCCTGTAAAATCTTATACATCATGATCCAGTACAGATATCTATATCCATTCTTTACGTCATCTACGTTCAATCATCGGTGCCAGCCTAGCATGTGTAGCCATGAAAGTGTGAGCTCTTGCTGGTGTGAACCTACTGGGTCAATGTCACTGCTGGGATGGGGAATGTAACTAACCACCCGTCTGCTGTTAAGATTGGCCTAAGAGGAATGTAATGGTGTGTGTTTACTGTTAAGACTGGATTAAGAGAAATCTAACTGCTTGTCTTCTGTTAAGATGGAATTAAGAGAAATATAACTGTGCTTGTCAATTTTTAAGATGTAATTAAGAGAAATCTAATGGTGTGCCTACCGTTAAGATAAGACTAAGAGAAATCGAACTGTGTCTATAGTGTTAAGATGGAATTAAACTGAATGTGACTACTGAGTATCTGCTGTTACGATGGGAATATGGAGAATCTCACTTGCTGTGAGTGGTGACTGGAAGGCCTTTAGTTCAGTATGCAGCGTTTTCTCTCTCCCTCTCTCCACAGATCATGCAGTCACTTACAGGAGGCACCATCGGTCAGAACGTCGTCATAGCGATGGCCGGAATCGCCAAGGTCTTTGTCGGCGAAGTCGTGGAAGAGGGTGAGCATGTACCGATGTTCTGATCTTGGAGAATTAAAGATAGATCCGCGAGATATTCGGATGTCTACGCAAAACTTCACGACGAGTTTTCACGACGCGATTTCACGACGAGTGGCTCGAATTTGAAAAACCATTAGACGTGCTGTGTGTGTGTGCGCGTGCGTGTGCGTATATATATGGTTACACATTTTGGATTTATCTTGAAATGGAATTACTTAGTATCATGCAACGCTGACAAATTCCGAGATTCGTCGCAAAACCGACGCCAGGGTGCGAAACTAACGCGAGTCCGGAGTCAAATACTCCCTGATTTACTGTCGGACACCCTGATTTGATATATGCAGGAGTCCGTGTGACTCGCCGTCTGCTATATACTAACTATAGTTCGTTATAATCCATAAACGTGGGTTTCACCAACCAATCAGAGTGACGTTGACATGACAATGACATATACCAACATGGACGAACGCTGGACGACACATCGTTTCATAACGGAGGGATGCCGGATTCCCCCAAGATACAAACATCATAGAAACTCATCTATGAGTCTAACTATGAAACGATATAGATCTTAACTATCTACAAACATTAGATACCGGATTCATCATCATAAGATTATTTCCTTCTTTCTAACATGACCGAATGCTGTTGATGAGACCTCTCTCTCTCCAGTGAAAAAAATACACGGGGGCTCGGGGCGATTTAGCCCTGGAAATGCCAAAAAGAGCCCTGGAAATGCCAAAAAGAGCCCCCGGAAATTTGCATAGAGTTCAATGGAAATCAAATTTTAGAGTGCTATTTTCATGCACGCGAGCTTGAAAAGTAGCCCCCGAAAAATAAATGTTAATTTTTTTCCTGTCTCTCTCTCTCTCTCTCTCTCTCGTCAGCCCTCGACGTGACGGAGCAGTGGGGAGAGTCGGGCCCGCTGCAGCCGAAGCACATACGCGAGGCGACGCGGAGGCTGCGCCAGAAGGGACTCATACCGAACACCAAGTACAAGAAGCAGCTGTTCTTCCGATAGCAAGCGTGGAGGAGGGGCGGGGCGTGGAGGAGGGGAGACGTGCGGGTGAGGAGACAGGGCGGGGTGAGGAGGAGGGGCAGGGCGTGGAGGAGGGGAGACGTGCGGGTGAGGCCAAAACAAAATATATGTGTGGTTACCGTTACATGCCGAAAAAAAATAGGGTAGGTAGGTATGGAAAACATTTTATTTTCTTGAAATATTTTATTTACGAACCATGTCCGAAGGATGTGCGTTGTGCCTTTTGAAGCAGGAACTGTCCAATTCATTTTTTTATTTTTTTTATTTTATTTTTATTTTTTTTACTTTAAAAGAAAAATGACAATAAAATGTTTAGGGTCGCTGGGAATAAATAGGGTCGGTCGGGAAACCGTAACCACGCCTATATTTTGTTTTGGCCTGAGGAGAAGGGACAGGGCGAGGAGATGGGGCAGGGTGAGGAGGAGGGTCTTACACCAAACACCAAGTACAAGAAGCAGCTGTTCTTCCGATAGCAAGCGTGGAGCAGGGGCGGGGTGTGGAGACGAGAAGGAACAGGGCGTGGAGACAAGGAGAAGGGACGGGCATGGAGAAGGGGTGGAGCAAGGAGGAGGGGAGAGGCAGGGAGGTAGGGTGGAGGAAGGAGGGGTGGAGCAAGGAGGAGAGGAGAGGCAGGGAAGTAGGGCAGAGCCTGGAGTAGGGACAGAGGAGCGAGAAGGCAGGGAGGAGCATGGGGGAGTGGAAGGGGCAGAGTTGGGGGAGTGGAAGGGGCAGAGTGCAGGAGAAAGGCTTCAAGCTGGCAAGTGTCAGACGGGGCAAGAATAGGGCAGGGAGGGGCAGAGAGGCGGGGGAAAGTGAAGAGTCAAAACAAAGGGATGACGGCATGACGCAATAAGGAGCGGCTGAGCTATGTGGAATGGAGGAACAGAGGAAGGGGTTATTTTAAGTGTCGCGGAACTAACCGCCGAAGTCTGATTGAGCAGAAATATCGAACACGTAAATATTTTTGTACATATATTTATAGCTGCTTTAATGATTAAAACTGTAATATAAAACATACTTTATATAGCGTAGTAACTATACATGTAAACACTACGACGATAATAACGTCAATAAACCGTTTCGACGCACATAGTGTTGCTGTATACATTCGTCGTATATTTTCTAATGATTTTCCAATGAAAATGTACTTGGTAACTGGTATATATACAGCATAACTTCATCAATAGTAACGTAATAATGCAGGTCTCTCTCTCTCTCTCTCTCTCTCTCTACTGGACACGTGAAATGGTGCGGTCAATGTGCCGTGAATTGCACGTCAGAGCCACCTACAATTGCACACATTTTATATATGAGTGACTCCCCCCAGCTATAGTACACAGTTTTTCTTAATACGGTCTTTGATTCTTTATTGGTTATTATTTTTTTCCGATTATCTCTGAGTTAAGTTATGTCTCAGATGCGTAAATTGCCGCAACTGATCAAATCAATCTTGCCCAATCGTCTCGAACATTTTAAAGTACCTCGTGTTCGATTTTCGGATTCGTGAAACGGAGACGGAGCGACGTATCCTTCCTCGCGGATCTCCTCCTGTAAGGTGAATCGGCGGCGGTTACCCTACGTAGGTTTCGTCAGCCAAGTCTCAGACTTCTTCTTCCTCTTCTTCTTCGCCTTCTTCCTCTTCTTCGTCGTCTTCCCCGCGCCTCTCCTCGCCTTCTCCTCCGCGGCGCGCGCATCCGCAATCCCCGGCAGGCATCCCGATCCCCCCGCCGGGCCCCCCGCGCGTTCTGACGACTCCCTGGAGGTGCTCGCCTCCGTTACCGCGCTCCCGTCCTCGTCCCGCGCCGAGTCGGCCGGCGACGCGTTGCCGCGGCGATGGTCCGACAGTCTTCGGTTGATCTCGGGCAGGAGCTCCGCGCTCGTCGCTGCGTTGGCTTCGGGATTCCGCTGGCTCTGCTTCCGCGTCGACGACGCGCGGCCCGACCTCCTCCCGGCGGCCCCCTTCGTCTTCCCTCGGGCACCTGCTGGCGAGACAGGGGGCACTGATGTGAAATCTACGGTCGAGGTTCGTGTTTATCGATCCATCGATTGTCTATAGATTATGATTATGTCGTGGATCTGTATCTTATATCCTAGATCCGTAGATTATATCGGAGATTTATAGATTATACCAAAGATTTATAGATTATACCGGATATTTATAGATTATGCCGATGATTTATAGATTATATCGGAGATTTATAGATTATACCGAAGATTTATAGATTATATCGGAGATTTATAGATTATACCAGAGATTTATAGATTATACCAGAGATTTATAGATTATACCAGAGATTTATAGATTATACCGAAGATTTATAGATTGTACCGAAGATTTATAGATTATAGTGGAGATTTATAGAATATGCAGTAGGTTTATAGTGTCTAGATAGTTCTAGAACAATCTCGCTCTACGATCGCTTACCCTTCTCTGAGCTTTCGGTGGCGTCTCCGACATCCTGGACACTGTCGTGCTGCTTCAGCGGGCACGACGTGCTAAACCACTGCGACTTCCTTGGCAGGCCGGCCGTCGCTTTCTCCTTAATCTGAACGAGATCCGATGACGGAACTTTATTGTTGTAAGTACGAGACGGATACGGAAGCAGGTAACGATGCGACAATTTTGACAGCTGATCTGTATGACAAGTTGGAGCGATGGCTGGTGGCACTTGAGACAAAGACAGGTTAGATGATGAAACTGTTGCATCGACAATAATTTTGGTAATAATCTTGCAATTTTGATTATCTTATATTATCACGAAATTATTTATACAATATCACACGCTATATCATCAGGAGTGAATGGAAAACAAATATTCATTGTTATTCATTGTTTTTATACATCATTCATTCATTCGTGAAAGCCCGACGACATTGCTCTAATATTGAACTCCATTTGAAATGACGTCGGACAGAAGATCACAGCCGTGTTCAGAGGTACGGGGCGAGAAATTACAGTCGGGTGAATGCAGACAGGCTTACCGTGAGGTCGTGGACCATGGTGGCAATGCTCTGAGGTCGCGTCAAGGACATCCTGTAATCGCACGAAGTAACGTGTCAGAGTGCGTGCGGGCGTTAGATTAATTCAACCCATTAAGCTTTATTTCTTACACTTTACTTACTGCAATCAGTTACGATGCAGTTCAGTTAATTGTAATTAATTGCATTTGAAACTTGATTTATATAATATATAATATATAATATAACTATTAATTAATATATATACTTATTTATAATAGCATCTGAATTATATATATATATATGATGACGATAAAGATGATAATGAAAATCATCGAGGTGCGCGCGAGAAGAAGAAGCCAACCCCGGTCCCGTAGGCTTTGGCGAGCCTCTGGGAGGTTTCTCCCGCACAGGAGGAGTCCTCGGTGGGCTCGGGATCACTTCGGACCGCGCCAACCGGGGAGGTCCTGGAACCTCCGCCAAAGTTCTCGCCGTTCCCTGATCATCGCTGTTGTTCGGCGCACACTGGTTATCCTTGCCCTTTGCGGGAACATTGCCGGAAGCCGCGCCGTCGATGCCACCTGGTGGGCGAATGATGAAGCTGTTAGGGGGATTGTTTAGCGAAGAGCGTTTTTTGAAATCGTGTCGCGCACTAGAGTGATAGTCTGTTTGAAAAGAGAGCTTTCTTGCGTACGCTCCCTCTCTTGCTCTTTCTCTCTCTCTCTCTCTCTCTCTCTCTCTCTCTCTCTCTCTCT